AATATAACATTTAGGGTCATTGAGTTTAATATGGAAATTGTTCCTTCTCACTACTATTATATACTAAGGTTACGTCACTGCATGTATTTCCAATTGGTCATATATGTTTTAATATGAATGATGTTTCATGGCTTAAAAAAGTACAGTACCTACTTTTGCCATTAAACTGAAAGCTATGTAAGTGACAAATAACTGTTTTTTTTTAAGAGGTGACAGGGGCCCAGAGGTTTATTCCGAATTTATGCACCGTTTCATAGAAGACTCTAAGACACATGTTCTATCACACTGTAGTTAGAAAACGAAAAGAAAAGAAAACGATCTGTTTGAGGGTCAGTGGACAAATAACTCTGTATTCAACATTGGTTAGTTGGTATTTTTAATCAGGGAAAAACGATACTCAGGGAATTACTTTTGCCATTAAACTGAAAGCTATGTAAGTGACAAATAACTGTTTTTTTTTCAGAAGTGACAGGGGCCCAGATGTTTATATCGAATTTATGCACCGTTTCATAGAAGACTCTAAGACACATGTTCTTTCACATTGTAGTTAGAAAACGAAAAGAAAAGAAAACGATCTGATTGAGGGTCAGTGGACAAATAACTCTGTATTCAACATTGGTTAGTTGGTATTTTTAATCAGGGAAAAACGATACTCAGGGAATTACAAATGTGTGACTGAAAAAAAGAAAAAAGATTGTTCAGTGGATAGATAGATAAAGATGCGGCAACAAGTTGCCATTCTGATCCACTGGGATAATGAAGTGGAGGGAACGAAAAATGTATTCTTAATTCACCTTAAACTTATAAAATCGTCTTAAGCAGTAATCCCACCATGGGTGATTACGAAGTAGAGTGGCCCAAAGGAGTGCTCTCCTCTGGTACAACAGGTTGTGGGTTCAATCCCAAGCCTGGTCTTACCAAAGACCATTATAAAAATGGTACTTACTGTCTCCTAGCTATAAGCACTCAGCATATAATGGTTGAAGTAGGGAACAAAGCCAGTATTGTTGAATGACTGCATGGTAACAATTGGCCATGTGGAAGAAAAGCTTGTGCTTTACATGAATTGGTAAAATGACGGTTAAAGTCAAGTGATGCCGCAACCTAAAATGGTTACAGACGGTTTTTAGTTTGCACAAATTAATGAGCTATGAGCTATTATGAAAGGACTACAAACGTATTGGAATTTGTATATGTCTTTGTCGAATATTAGTTGTATTGATGTGACCATCATATATATACACATACATGTATATTAAAAAAGGAAGTATCCAATTATCATAGGTAACGGTTGTTCTGTATATATATAGTCAAGATGTTTTTGTTGAATCTTTATATGATGTATTTAAAGAGCTGTGGTCACTTTGAAATATCTCTTGTCCGACCTGTGTTTAACTTGATTTTCATCTATATTTCAAGCATGCCACGGTTTGGGTGTTGCTTTGATGAGCCATCTGTTATTTCCAATGGGAGCAGAGGGATCATTTCAGATGTTTTTGTAAGAAAAAAAACAGGATGTGTTATTGGAATGACAACGTGAAAATTTAAAAATGCAACAACTATTTTTTTATTTGTTGTCATGCTGTACTTCCAACCACCTCGAAAAAAAAAAAAGCATTAACAACTTATATGAACATTATGGATAGTGTATATACCATGATATGCTACGCATATCCCTTTTTTATTTCATACGTCAGTGATATGGTTGAAGTTTTTGTTTGCTGGTGTTATTTATGTGTCATGCTGTCCTGCAATTGATACCAGATGGACACACGTAGGGAAAAGTCGAATTTGGCTCTGACCACAATGACATCGGGTCATTTATTAGGGTATATATAGTAAGACATGAACGTTCTAGAGGCGTAGCCCTCTGAAAAACCCACATCTTTGCGTTATAGTACATTCGTATTCATATCGGGTGCCTTTGATAGATCTATGGGTATAGTACTTAGTTCGACCCTTGATTGGCCGGGCACCAAATTCGTGCGATATCCAAAACTTATATCCATCTGGTGTTTGTTTTGAGACAGAGTGAGAAAAACTTTCGGGATATTCGATTATTAGCAGGCAAGAAGTGACCCAAATTTAAACTGAATCTGAGGCTGTATACATTTATACCGATTTTTGATTCAGTTAGCCCTGTGAATCGTTGTATTTTCGTTGGCGGAGGTCTGCGCTTTATGTTGGAGTACTCTGTTGTTGGCGTATATATTTTCATTCGTTTGCATGTTTATGCTTCAATCAGAACAAGTAACATTACAAGTATGATACATGTAGCAGTAGCAAAAATAAAAGCCCATTGGATAAGATATTCTGTACTCAGAACATCATGAGCAGCTATTTAACCCGACTGGCCATCAAAATAAGTCACTTGTACGCATGGGGAAAATACCATTGTACAACTGTGACTGTGGGAAATGGTCAATTGGATTCCTGCTTAAATTTCAAGGCGCAGACAACGACAATGCATTTATTTACCCCGGTATCATAGTAAAGATTGTTTATGTTAAAACCCTAACATATAAATACTTAATGTATTTAGAAGGGTGTAATAACACTATGATGCATTGACTGTGAGTCCGGCCACTCCAAGCTGCTAGTGACGCATGCGCGACCTTATACATGTACTACTTATTACGTGTGGCATGTGCATGTATCTCTGTGGTGATTGAGTGGAGCAGGAATTAAAATGAAACAATGTGTATTTTTCCATGGAGAAGTATATGTCTGTAACAAGAAAAAGGGAGGCAAACGTTTGTACTTGAGTGATTATTCTAATAAATGGGGCTTTCAAAAATAGAAATGCTTTATTCTTTTGATAACTGGTTAAAGTGCGAAATATTCTATTTGATGCAGAATAATGTAACATTCAAACCTATTTCGATCTCGTTTCCGGTAAATGTGACTTCACTCGAATGCCATCTCAGCCTTTTCTATTTTTTATAAGAAAATAAGTTTCGAAATGAAATTGTGAGGCCATTGATTAACATTTTAGACAAAGTTCATACATTTTTTTCTTGGGTGGGAGATATTTTTTTCGTCTCCATTCGTCATTTGAAATCATTTGTTAAAACAAAAGCTGAGCACTGTTCAATCAATTTACTTTCTTTTTTAAGTCAAGCATGTAACTTCCCCGAAAATGACTTTTAAACAAGCGAATTATTGTGAATTTGTGCCAAGAATATGCCAGTTTCACAAATAGATAAATGATAAGTGATAAATAACTAAGCATGCCTTGGTTCAGCACAGTAATCTAAAGTATATTAAAGTCTCGGTCTAATCATTAGGACTTATTTTAGGACTAAATTTTGTGACCAAAGTCTCGGATATAACAATGTTATAAAATTAAAATTATATCATTTATCATATATATGTAACAACAATATTGTGATAAATAAAACTGATAAACATAAATAGCGGTATTCTTTTATGTAAGTCGGCAAATGTTGACGTATCAACAATGCCGATTTGTTTATTAGAATGCGCACACACACATACATACGACTCCAAACAATTCAGCATAGGACCAGCTTTTACCTGTGCAAAAATATAACTGACAAAAAGAATGCATTTATTTACCCCGACTTTGGAAACTCCGCAATCAAATGTCATGTGCTATTTAAATAATTTTTAAGTAGAAGCCTATCAGCTTTAAATATATAACAATACATATCTGTAAAAGTTAAATGAATTTTCACTCGTCTTCGTCAGCTAACATACTTGTATATGAATTATTCTGAAAAAAATAAATATTTACCCTACTGCAGCATCATCGCGAATGAATCTATGTATAAAAGCAATAACAGAATTTAGAAAGAAAATGGAATGAATTTATCCCAGTGACGCAGCTTGCCTGCAAACGTTTCTGATTTGGGACCCGTCATATTACAGGTAGATAAAAATGGGCCCAACACGCCTATAAGGTTTTTAAAGAGTTTTTATCCATCTGCTGTGTCTTATTTTAACAACAAAAATGGAAATTTATAATTTATTTATAATTTGTAACCTGAATAGCAGTCCAATTTCCGTTTTATATGAATTTTATATTTATACATTAATAGCTGAATAAACTCTTATCTTATCTTATCTTATATTACAAATTGCACTTGAGAAAGGAGTAGGCTGCGATCATCATATTTTGAAAAAGAAAAAACATATCATAAGTAAACTCTCACCGCCTCTCTACTACAGTAAAAGAGGAACAGGGTACATGACGAGGCGTGGTGACAATATAACCCTAATCATGGACGTCCGCGGGGGGGGGGGGGGGGGGGGGGTGTCAGTGGGGACCCACCCCCCTGGAAATTTGGAACTGTATTTTTATTGCGGGTACCCAGTCAATCATTATCCTCCCTTCAATGACTGGAAATTTTCTAGGGACGCCTATGACGCTAACCCTAACCTGTGACAGCCACAGCGACTGCCTTAAGTAACTTTTGGATGAGCGAAGGGGTTATGCATTCATGTACAATTCCTGGGATTGAGTTACACATTGGATTACCTGAAACTGAGCTTACTTCATAATGTCACATGGTCTATCTCCACACCTGAGATACGTGTACACTTTTTGACAGTGTGTTTGAGGGTGGGTGGATGAGATGAAATAGCACCACTACAGGGTACTTTATAAACCTTACATTAAAAACTGAGACGAGTTTGTACATGGGTCGTCTAAACCTAATTTATATCTTAATATTTTGTCGCGACCCTTTCCACCACCTTGCTATTAAAGACCGTACGTGGAGGACTGTGAACATTTAATTCACCTTTAATAAATATCAAAGACACACAATGAGTATAAGGCCTGAACATACTTGTTACGAAATCATCAATAACGCGATGAACTAGAGATTTCAAATATTGCAGACTGGTCAATAACTAAGGTAGTTGATAATCTGAGACATCAGATTTTGTCCGTAATTTCTCCTCTTTCCCATCAGCAGCAATGTAGTTTCAACCCAAGTTATTCTTCATTTTGTCCCTATTTATTTTAAAATTCGTCACCTTGGGTCGGTATCGAGGTCCCAGTGTTCAACATCACTCGGCGGCTCAGACAGGTACTCGGGAACTCTCTCCATGATGTTCCCATTCCCCACCTGCACATACTGACAGTTGTTAATGTTGTTGTGCGTGCAGTATGTTGTATTGTAGTGATGATGTTGGTGATGGTAATGGTGGTAATGATGGTGATGGTGGTGACTTGATGGATCCAGTGAAGATCCCTGGTCGTTTGCTGCTTCTTGATTTGTACACTCTGAAACGATGGCAAAATTCGGTGAATAAATTTATTTTGGTTCACGTTGATGGTTCTATCATACGCCAACTACAGTACTTACTCATCAAATGAATGAATACTAATATTTTAAATAAATTTACATTTTCAGGTATCAGCCCTGTTGAGAATGTGAAAAGACGAAATGAAACATCCGTCTTATGTTACATGATGAAAGTGAATTTTTATATAATATATATTTATACAATACATTTTTTAAATTTTAATTTGTCAATACTCACCACCAGAGGACTCTTGTTTTATCTGCGGGCTAGACAAGTACTCGCGTACAAGCTCATACATATCTAGAAGTAAAAAGAGTAGAAATCGGAATAATAAAAAAAAGAAATTGCCAGGCATCGCGATAATACAATATTTCCCTGTCCAATTTCCATTTCACAGTAACAATTAATTGCAATAAAAGGGGGCGGAGAAGCAGACCGAAGCTTTATAGTTATTTATTAAGTTATTTTAATATAAATACACGCTAAGTACAGCATGAAATATTCCGATAAATAAATACAGATAATGAATTGCAAAGTATTTTTCACTTAAAAAAGAAAGTGGTGATTGATATAACTTGCATAATGAATAAAAAAAAGTCTAAATTTACAATACCCAAAAAATTAACTAAGTAACTTGCACATGATTTCGTTGGAAAACACCAAAGACACAAAAAACATGCTGATATGTTTTAATTCACATTTTAAAAATTTAACTAGAACGCATGTAAATATGCTTGTGCGTGCACGTGCGTCATTACCTTCATTATACATCTCCGGGTACTGAAGACACGCTGGAATCATCTCATCCACTGGAGCGTTATCGTAACAGGGGATAGAGGGCACTGATGTCGCCCCTGCAACAAGACGTCCTGACACAGCAACGTCATCATCCTGTTAGGAAGACGTCAGATGATGTTAGGTATAGACAAGAACTAACCTCTCTCTCTCTATCTCTCTCTCTCTGTTTTATCTTCAAAGACATCAGAGCTCATTTCGCCCATGTCGATGTTTCGTGGGCACAAACAGTTTTTTTATCAAAGTAAAGAGAATTTTGTAATTGACTGTAAACGATGAAAAACTGGCCCTATAATTTAATACACTGGGTCCGGTTGCACCAACAGGGCGCAAATTTACTCGGCTACGACTGTCGTAAACCGCAACGCCTGGCGTCCGTGCGCCAGGTTTACTCTCCCTGCTTACGCCCGTTGCACCAAGACAAAAACTGATCGACGTAACTACGCCCGTTGTAAATTTGTGTACATAACACAAATGATAAAATTGCCTGCTGGAGACTGGTGTGACAGGAATGGTAGTCCTAGAAATGGAAGTCCGGGGTCCTACATGAGGGTCAGTCTTTGTATCGAGGTTAGTATATGGGACGAATGTCACCTGTACAGAGTGATGACAACGGACAACTGAACCTAGCGGATTACCATTCCTGTCACACCGGATCCCCGCAAGCCATCGACTTCGTGAACCAAAACTTACAGGTCTGGTAGTGCACATCCAGGTCCACTCCTCTTTCTTGGCCCGAGCGCTGTCGACCTGAGACCTGATACACCCGGGACAGATGTAGTAGATGTTACAGGCCTCCCCCGGACACTGGTCAAGCAACCCCTGCATCGTGGTCACCATGGTCTTGAGTTCCTCCCAGAGTTTTCCCAAATCTTTGCCTCTCACGGAGACCTGGAGGACACCGTCGTTGTGGTACTGAAACCGTTCCACGAACACCTGTGATGGCCAATGAGGAAAGGTATTTAACTGTTGAAATGTGATACAAATTCAATGTAAATATTAATATCACATAATGTGCTCTTCGGTTATGATAAATTACATGGAAATAGAACGGCGATGGTAAATAAATGTTAAAAATGTAAAAATGAATAGCTTGCCGCTTGTTACACGTTTCAATGACATTTTTTCAACATTTTTGCTAAGTGCATAAAACATTGATGCAGTTTCAATAATATTTAAAAAACAGAATAAAAAAAAAATCAGTTGCGGTTTTATGGAAAAATATTATCCACAAATCTGCTGGATTAAAGTTAGGTGTGCAGTACCGCACCCTTCCGTCAGAGGTCGCTTTGAGCTAAATATTTGATGACTTATGATTCTGCATATAGGTGGCGACACTATACCTTAACATCGCCAAGGCTCATGTAAAAACCTTCGCTCCAGTCTCGTCTTGGTAACTGCTTGTACGGTCCCTTGGAATGTGTGAGGACCTAGAATTATATTTTTTTATCATTTAATTTAGAGAATTGTAACGTTAAAGTATCACTAATTATAAAGTGAACATATCACAAAATTAAAAATACAAAAATCTTTCAAAATATCTTGATAAGGCTAACTTTTGAAAGGGACGTACCTTTCAATTAAAAACACATATTTATAAGTAGAGGTTATATATAAAATGCTGTATTTGAAAATTTCAAATAAAAAGAAACCTCGTGTAAGTTTCAAAAATGTTAAAGCTTGAGCATCAAATGATGAACAAGTACATGTCACAATGAAAATTAATAGGCATAACAAATCTATGACAAATGCTAGAATATCAAGGACTAACAACTTTTAAAATCACCTGAATCCTTTCGAAGAAGCTTGGCGGGACAACGGTGATAAAATGGAACTCAACGGTAAGCTGCAGCACGCCTGGTTCCATAGTCTTAGGCCATAGTTGCTGGACGTCATCAGGGAGCCTTTGAAACAGGAACCATGGGAAATACAGAGTCGGCTGTTCCATGTACCGGACCTCGTAGCACAAGTCAAAATGCTGGAGGAGGGAAAACATTGTATCGAGGTCGACACCTTGGAAATCCGCCGCCAGGATGCCCTGGAGAAGTTTCTTGGTCAGGAGGCCCTTTTTCTTGAACCAAGACATCTCTTCCTCGAATTTCACGTCTGTGTATTCTGGAAACCCCCTTCTTCGTCTCTTGGCTGCTAGGGTCGTCTCCATGTCGTGGTCAAACACGGCTTTGAAAAAATTGGTCAGCTTTTTCGGATTGTGAAAGATGTAATCCTTGAGACGCGGGGAAACATACCACAAGATGGCGCCCCACCTATGCAGAAAAGTGAGGACGGTCTCGAACTTCTCGCAATCTTCTTCGTTGAATTTCCCATGCATTGGAGATGTCAGGAGAACTTTTATGGACTCCAGCATGGTCGGTGCCGACTTTTTGGACGGGGTGGCTTGGTCCCAAAGTTCCTTTGCTTCTGCGTACGGCATGTACATGGCATCATCCTTTTTGGCCCTTTCCGCGATAAGTTTGGCAAACTGGTACCAATTTTCTGGCAAAGCGCATGACTTCGTCTCGGCCACTTGAAGGATCCTTTTCTTCAATTCATCCACACCATGGAACTCTTTCGAACTGATGATGACAGGTTTTTGCACGTTCAGAATACTTCCTTGCATTCTCTCCAGTCGCTCGATTCCCTTTTTAATATTCGCTAGCAGATCACTTCCGCTCCTGGTGCCAGATGGATCTGTTTGCAGAAGTGTTCGGAGTTTCTTTCTCTCCTCCTCTAGTCTATTCTCAAGGTTTTTCCGGTAGATTTTGACATAATTCTTAGCATGGTCGAACACGTGTTTTGCCTTTGCCTCCGCCTTTTCCTCGGTGACAGTGTCTCCTTTGGTACCCACTGGAATTATTGTGACACCGGGGGTTTTTGCTTGTATTTTGCGCAGCCAGAAACCCACACTTTTGAAATAATGCTCGCAGTTGGTCTCGTAGAGTTCTAAGTTAAAAAGGACCAGCACTAAGGCATTTATCCTCAAGAAGATGGGGTGCAGTACCTTGTAGAGGCGTTGCCCTCCAAAGTCGGTGAATCGTAGCTCAACTCCAGCCTCCAGTTCTTGGAGCACTGTCTCCTCCAAAACGATCGTTCTGTCGTCTCTACTGGCGAGCTCTGGTTCCTTTGCCTTAAGCGTCCGACAGAGGCTGGTTTTCCCCACGGTTTTTTCCCCCACGACCATAACCTGTTGCCTCGTAACGTAGACGGAGCTAAATTTCTCGGCATCTTCCTGATACAAGCGTATGGCTTTGAGGCCCATGGCACAAACTTCAATTGGTGGATTCTTAAGGGGATTCTTGAA